CAAAACGCAACTTTTCCTCCTCTCTTCGTGTCTCCTCCCTCTGAAATTCCATCTCTCTGCGTCTCTCGTCCCGGTCGTCCATCCACTTCAGAATTGTGGCGATGTCCGTCACTGGAGGTGGAGGATGAGAGTCTGTGCCCGGTGGAGGGGAAGGTGGTGGGGAGTCGCGTCTCCCATCTTGACGTCCCTTCTTACCTCCCATCTTTGTGTGTGCGTGGACTGTACTGTTTAATATATAAAGTGGCGCCTCAACAGCTCAAACCACATGTATATGACATAAACAGCGCAAAAATCACGCATATGGTCCAGGTCCACTGTTCTGTCCGTGAGTGAGTGCGTGCGTGTGTGTGTGTGTCTGAGAGAGCGGAGGGAGCGTGGTCCGGCAAGACCGTCAGTGTCCCCGGGATGTCGCACGAGAAGGGTGTGCGCATGCGTGCTCCGTGGGTACCACAAAAAAAACAGGCCAATGCTCAACTCAGCTCTAGACACACACTAATACACTGACACTAACACTGCCACCGTCACTAAAACGCACTGTGACGGCGCAACACTGCACATCGCGGCGAAACACAGCGCAACACAACACAACACACTATGAGTCGAGGCGCATCACAGGCAGACGTAACTGTCGGCATTGTTCACACACTTTGTAAGTCCACAGATCCTAGACACTGCGCCATGAAAGTTACTAGTGTGCCCTGAAGAATGCAGTGATGGCTAGGGAAACACTGTGTAACACTGAGTCCGTTTATTATGGATGAGAGAAATACAAGTGGTGACTCGCGTGTGCCATGCACGGCTCACACAGTCAGACTGAGGCTGCCTTGCCATATGGCAGCCTCGGGGCAATGTTGCCACATAACACGTGCAGTGTTGCCACGGATATTATATATATAAATGCTACTCAGCACAGTAGCTTATGTACAGGGTTGCTACTCCGCACAGTAGCTTAGATACATAACCTACAGTAAGCCGTTCAAAATGATATACAGTAAGTTGAAGGAAGCACAGGTAAGAGATTGATTTACTGGACATTGTATTATTATTTCTTCATATTAATTACGGTACTTTATATTAATGTACATCTAATATCACCATGTCTAATTATTAATATTTAACATATTTTAATATATTTTTGTATATAGGCCTATGTACCGTATATATATATAATTGTGAATAGTAGATTACAGAAGGAATTCCTAATCAAAACATATGAATAACACAAAAAATAATTTAACTTAAATGCCAGTAAATTTTTCCTATTATTTTAACAATTTGTGAATAACATTAATATTTTCCAGTGAAGATTATTAAAACAAGATACAATTCTACATCAAGAGATTTCTTTTTTCTTGTGGAACGAAAAATGATACTTTTCATGGCTTCCAAAACTGCATTCATCCTAGCTACATTCATATTGTTTTAATTATGCATTATATATACACTCAACTGTTCCTCTTGTCGAGGGAATCATTGAAATATAAAAGTAGGATGAGTTTCTGTGGATGTCCCGCATAGCAACACGGGTGGGGCCAAAGTGGAGGCACTGAAGGTTACCTATTCGGTAAACTAAGTGACCATCAGACCAATACCAGCTGCCGTAGAGGCCCGTAACAAACGCGCCCACCAAAAGCTGAGTTTTCCTATCTTCCATATAATTGTAGTCTTTGCAACAGCTCGTGTAAAATGAATCTTTAATTTCGAACTCAAACAAGACGTGAAATAAGACAGGGTAATTCATTCACAAATTTCATCTGCCATTTTTCAGACCATGAATTTTTTTTTTTTAGATCTTCCTGGAGTTTTGCAGAGTCCTCGTCAGATTTAATTACACCCTATTTTGTCGTCAGCAAATTTACTTATGTTGCTGTCTACGCTTACAGCTATGTCGTTTATGTATGAACCCAAGTACTTTGTTAGCCTTATTTCGAGCAATTACACATTGTTGTCTTAGTTTAAGATTCCTTCTTATCATTATTCCCAAAACTTTCTCACAGTCGGATTTCTCTATAACAACGCTGCTCATCTGATAGCTGGTTTCTCTATTTACATTTTCCCCACAATAAATTTAATCTACCATTTTTCAGACCATGCAAAAAATTGTTTTAGATCTTCCTGTAGTTTTGCAGAGTCCTAGTCAGATTTAATTACACGCCCTATTTTAGTGTCGTCAGCAAATTTACTTATGTTGCTGTCTGCGCCTATATCTATGTCGTTTATGTATATAATAAATAGTAATGGTTCAAGTATTGAACCTTGGGCGTACTCCACTAGTGTAGTCATCCCAGTCGGATTTTGTGCCGTTACCAAAGACTATATGAAAGACGAGAAAACTCAGGCACTCACATGTAATGGTTAACACATGAACGAACGCACAAATTTGGTAGTGCGGCCGGTAGATATCGCTAGTGTGGAGCGCGTCATTTGCTAGTTTACACATTGAATATGACAATAGGAATCCGCACACGAACGCAATATGCAAATGAATGGTCTTATCAACATGACAAGTAAAGGATACCCGAGCATAATCTGCAAACGGAGAAAGGATACACATCCAGATTTCGAATTTCATCGATTTCCCCAAAATAAAGAAAATTAAGTATTGTAATTATATTAAAAAATAGACTAGGAGTAAGATTGTATTAGTCCTATTTATTATCGATGTGTACAGTATGTTGAAAGTTAAACAATTTCCATGGAAGATGCTAGGGGCAGGTATTATCCTTATTATAATTTTAGGAACTGTAAGTAATTCTGGATATTTTTTTTTCTTCAGATTTAGTAGATGGCAGAGGATACGAGAAGAAAATGGCATAACTTTGAAGGGGAAAACATTTGAAGAGTGTTGGGGTATGTGCCGGTTTGGCAACAGTGTATTAGTCAGCCAACGGACGGAAGTTAGTTTCCTTGTAGCAAATTTAAGGCGTTTATTGTAAGGCGTTTTCGATGCAAGGACTAGTTAACGCGTTAGCTATTCTGTATGCACAGACGCTGCTTTTGACTTGTGTGCATGACATATTCAAAGGGAAAAGCTAACACCTCGATCAAGCGTTAGCCTTGTGCAGTGCCCAAGCGGTCCAAATAGCTAACAACCAAACAACGATTTCTCCCACCGAAAATCCGCGGATTTTAACTGCCGAATGGTTTCTACAATTAGATTACGTCACATTTTAAGGGTGAGAAAAACCCACAACGTTGATATAGTCAAAACCTGTAAAGAATGAGACACTCGTTACCTACTGATTTCATTCCATTATATGTATACATTATACGTCAGCTAATAGATACATTATTCTGTATACTATGCCTTAGTTCCAAACATTTCACCACAACACAAACAATCACTGTTCTTTCACTCACTTGTGCGGGCTTTTCGCTTCACTTAACTCCAAGTATTGTTCCAAGTAACCCCTGTGATGGCTAGTATGTGTTCATTCAAAAGGTCTGGCCGATACTGCTTCAGTGCCAGATAGAGTGACCAACACCCCCCACACACCTGTTGAGGTCACAGGTCACAGGTCGGGGACCTGCCATATGTTTTATCGTCTACAGCCGAGACGATGGCTCATATGGCGGCAACACTTTTATTACGTTTATCACCCTCCCTTATTGCAACCTGGCGGAGGCCAACACTCCACCTGGACACAGGTCCAAAACTCGGAACATTAAACGGCGCCCTCGAGGAGACAGATCTTGGTAACAGGTCGGAGAAACTCGCGGACAGCAGTGCGTAAACGAACCTGACGGACGAGACCATCTTCACTAGCAATCGCTTCGACAAGACGACAACCCGACCAAGGGCCATTTGCCCAAAGGAAGGGCTTCTCCCGTTATGAGAACAAGAGCGTTGACTTTGAAGTTATGAACAGGCTGAATATGTTTTTGCCGCTTGCGGAGAATCGGTAGGTATTCCTTGGTCCAACGCTGCCAAAATCGATCTGCCAGAATCCGTGCAGCGGGCAACCGCTGAGAGGAGGGACTGGAGCGGAGTCACGTCCAAGCATATGTAGTAGAGTCAATGCCTCCAAATCCTTGGCATCAGTTGACGCTGCAGTTATTGAGCGGATGTTAAAGATCACTTCTATCTCACATAATAATGTCTGTAGTCGCTCATCATCAACCACTTGAGACCCGACGATTGCCCTAAGCACCTTACGCACTGTTCGGATTTGTCTTTCCCATATACCTTCTTTATGTGATGCCGCAGGGGGATTGAACACCCACGCCACCCCCTTCTTCACAAGATGTTGCTGTATGTGTTTGTTTGCCACCCAGTTGCGAGCAGCTGCCCTGAGTTCTTTGCAGGCTCCAACCATGTTTGTGCCATTATATGAGCGTATGCGTTCAGGAGTACCTCTGCGTGCCATGAAACGGGTGATCGCATTTATGAGAGCATCGGCATCAAGAGTGTTGAGCACTTCCAGATGGACTGCTCGGGTTGTCAAGCATGTGAATAGACACCCATAGCGCTTGGCTGTCTTACGTCCTTGTTTGGTCTGAAACGGACCAAAACAATCCAATCCTGTGAAAGCAAAGGCAGGTCCGATCCGCTGGCAGCACGGCTTCCCTTTGATACATTGACACCCAGTTGTTGCGACAGCAGACAGTGCATGCCTTGGAAATCTTATCCAGCAGACCACGACACTTACGTATCCAGAAATTTTGACTCAACAATGAAAGCGTGTGCTCTCTTCCAGAATGTCCTGCATGTACTGCATGTTTCTCGTACAATTAGTGTAGTCACCGGATGATCACGTGGGAGCAGTATTGGCCCATCATGTGTTGCCGCCCAATCACGGTGCAGCCTTCCTCCAACCCTCATCAGGCCATCAGACATGTATGATTTTAGACGATAAAGTTCACTTTGGCGTGTCAACCTTTTCTTTGCAATAAGCCTCATTTCTTGTTGGTACAAGTCTCTCTGTAGTGCTCAAGAAAATTGCTCTCTTGGCTTGGCGTAACTTTGACACACTTAACATGGTGATGTTTGTTGTTTGTGTTTATTCTTTGAGGACGTTGATAACTCTCCGGATCCAATCTACTCCTCTTTGAAGCTGGAACAAAGCAGAGTACCTTTCCCACAGGCACTGCAAAGTTTCTTCGGCTCTGTGTACTGTGGAGGTCACTGAAGTCACGTCCCTTTTCACTTTAGGATCGCCCTCGAGTTCCATGTCAACCTGCGGTGCCTTTTGCCAATACTCGGGAGGTAGCCTTATAAAAATTGGACCCTGGGTCCAACGACAATCCTCCAACATCTGAGAAGCGGTTACTCCTCGTGTTGCATCATCTGCCGGGTTTTGCTCTGAGCTGACATGTCTCCATTGCCTCATGTCCGTGACTTCTATTACAACTCACAGATCGGGGACCTGCCATATGCTTTATCGTTTAGGGCCGAGACGATGGCGCCATCATCTCCTCGCTTAGTAAACAACAACACTTTCAAATTACTTTTATCACCCTCCCATAATTGCAATAACACTGAGCGAAGGCGGCGATAACACGGATCATGGCCACTTATGGAAATTATTTTGATTAATATTGAAGAGTTGGGGGCATGAAAGGCAATAAAAAACTGTGATATAATAATAAATATAATTCTATATACGGTAGTATATTGGATAGGACCTAAAACAAAGCATAAGGCATGAAAGAATTGAAAAGGATCTCACCTTGTTGAAACCTGTTTCGGCTCGCCCCTTTTTAAGTGGGTGCTGTCTGATCAGCGATTTCTCCCACTGAAAATACGGAGATCATGGCCACTTATGGAGAATGTTTTGATTAATATTGAAGAGTTGAGGGCATGTGAGGCAATAAAAAACTGTGATATAATAATAAAAATAATTCTATATACAGTAGTATATTGGAGAGGATCTAAAACAAAGCGTATGGCGTGAAAAGATCGAAAAGAATTGCGCCTAGTTGAAACCAGTTTTGGCTCTGCCCATTTCTTAAGTGGGCGCTGTCCGATTTCATTAGCCGTTGGTGACTTTGGTGTAACAATATTGATAATTACTCAAATATGATTAAAACTTTAATATCATTGCTCATAAGATACTTTAAATAATGGTGAAAAGTTTATTACAGTCTTGTAAGTGCCAAAAATAAGACCTGAAATTCGTCGTATTGAGTGTATATTATATGCGAACATCGGTAAACAACACAATTTAGCTGCGAGACGAGAGAACATACAGCACGTAGTGGAGCACCTTTCCTGTATAAAAAATGGATCAAGCAATGGTTATTGTTGACTGATTGATTTTTTTCCTTTTGTCTTTCTTTCCATATTTTTCTACATATTTTCTTCACGATTTCTTTCCGTATTGTGTCCAAATAACAATTCTAATTTAATTTTATTGTTTTCTGAAGACTGTGTTGTACAACAAATATTTCCAAGATGCGGTTCAAATGTATTTTTTAATGACAGTCCGGGAAAGATAACGCGTTAGCTATTTCGTGCATCTTAAAACACCGAACATAAAACGCCTTTAATTGAAGTGTAGGGTGAAATGTAAGACTATCTATTGGAAATACAGGAAAGAGCTCCTTGAGAACGATAATGAAAACGTGAGCACCAGCGAGTGGAACAACGCCATCTGTTGAGCCCACACAAAACTATTTTCGTGTATACGGGTAAACTACACCTGGGAATGATAGTATTTTCTTTCGGTTTCTCTGCCTCTCTCCTTATATATATATATATATATATATATATATATATATATATATATATATATATATATATATATATATATATATATATATATATATATATATATATATATATATATATATATATATATATTACTTTACTTTTATCCTCTTCACCACTTATCGGCTCGTTTAGCCGCTTGGGCGATCGGTCACGTCTGTTACTTTTCCTTTTCTTTTATCCTCTTCACCAAATGATCGACTAGTTAGCCGCTTGGGCGATCGGTCACGTCTCTGTTACGCACTGTTGGCAAGTACTGGGCATGCACCGGCTCCTGAATATACCTGAACCTGCTCCAGTGTTGGTCAAGTCTTGTCTTGAAAGAGCTCACTTGGTGCCGCTACAACACTTTCTGGTAGATTGTTCCAAGAGTTCACAACTCTCACTGCTAAAAAGTTTGCCCTCACAGTTTTCTGGACTTGCGGCTTCTTTGATCTTGAGCTGTGACCCCTTGTGGGGCGAGTGTCCGCCAGCTCCAAGTAAGGACACTCGACTGAGCAGTGCCCCTTAAGATGCTTATACACCTCAATTAGGTCACCCCTTGCCCGTCTGTAGTATAAGCTAGGCAAGTTCAGGCGCTCCAATCTCTCAGGGTAGCTGAGGTGCCGAAGTACAGGCACCAGTCTGGTGGCCCTCCTTTGAATATTTTCAACCAGCTGACAGTCCCCAGCATATCTCGGGGACCAGACGGGGTGACAGTACTCAGATGGGGAAGCACTTCACTCTTGAAGATCGTTACGTGGGACGGACCGTCTAGATATCTGAACGACCTTCTTCTAAGACCCAATAATTTATTTGCCTCATTTACCTTCTTCTCGCAATGGCCCGAGAACTTCAGCTCATTGTTAACATACACACCTAGGTCCTTCTCACATTCAGTCTCAAATAGTGGAGTTTCTTCATCCCGTTAGGACTGAATCGGCTGCTTGTCCAATTAACCAGTCCTTTCACACATATTTATATTTGGGTTTTAAGTAACGAAACCCAAACGGTAGTTCCTTTGTTTTATTATAAAAGGTTGTAGATATAATTCCTGAGTGTATATCAACCGTAAGTCTCACTGTCTAGGAGTGAATGAGAAGGGGGCGGCGTTTATGTATAATAAACGTTAGGTCACGTCCTTACGATATGAGTTGAGGTGAGCTACTGAAGCTTAAGGGCATCGCAGTGCGTGCTTACAGAAATGCTGAGCTATGGGTCTCGCCCTCTTGGGTGAGTTGCCCTCTCACGTGTCCATCTCATGTCTTACTCATAGACAGTGGAAAGTTACAGGGTGGTAAATCTGAATATAATATCAGATGTATTGACCCATTTATATAATACGTTCTGTTGATGAGACAGGGGCCTATTACATCGCTCGGTCACCTACCAGCCGAGCTCCGTGAGGCCTAAATAACTCACAGAGTACAGTACATCCTAGACAATCCTAACCATGTTATAAACAGTATGTAGACACTAAGCTGGGGATATTACTGTAGGGGTATTCTCTACTACAGGGGACCTAGACTTTTGTGTCGTACGGGTTAGTATGTTATGAACAATGTTGAATTTGGATGATACTGCCCGGTAATAACAGAACAGGAACATTATTGCCAGAATTAACAGAATAGAGGGAATCGTAAGACTTGGTAGTGCAAATTCCCGTCACAGGTAAAATGGCAAGTTATTATTCAAATCAGCAAAATGTGTCTCGTTCAAGAAAGCTAAAACTTTTAATTTCTCTGATACTATTTGAATATCCTTGATAGTGAAATTCATTATAGGAAGTGGAATTAAAGCAGACTTGAGTTTTCGATTTAACGTAAAATGCTGATGAGTAGGCAAGGTCCGTAATGTACTACAAGTGATTTCACAGTAATCAGGAGCCTTGTAATGCCCTTTCACAACTAGCTGCTTAACACCATTTTGGCATTTTAAAATGACAGTAGTGAGATTTGGAAAGAACAAATACTGCACATTGTGAAGGTGAGCGTGGAACACAGTCTTTAGACTAACTGGCCTATAACTGCATTGCGCTAACGCTGTGCGTACATTTGGTTGTATGACTGCCAATTCACATATTCCCTCTGCAGCAGGAATAAATGCAAACATGTAGGCTGGACATACGTGTAGGTGTAGATAAGACGACTTACACCGTGACAGTACCTCAGAATCCTCTATTGATAACAATGAATATTCTTCATCTACTAAGAAAAGTTCTTTAGGCCTATCTAGGGTATACAGTGTGTCGTTCACAAACCAGGGGAAGGGTTCTAAATGCCATGCATTAAACTCATGTTGCCCTCGCATAGGAATGTGGATCAGAATTGTGTTGTGCGTGAGGGTTGACTCCAACAGTGGGTAATGATATTGAACCTCATTGTCATTGAAAATCTGAGTTAAATGATACTGCAACTTGGCTATATTTAAAGCTTCAAGAAGCGTCTGCACAGGCACAAGCTTCGCGCCCACACGTCCTATCCCGGCATCTACAATGCTGTCTATTAGTTCATTTTTAGAGATTACAATTTTATGAACTGAAATTTCAGCAGCATGCAAATATTCTGTGAAGTAAAGGAGCCATTCTAACGTCGGGATTGCTTTCTGTAACCAAGTAACAATCCTCGAAACTTGGTTAGACTCCATTATGATTGCATTAACCTTTGATTCTAGAGCAGTAATCGCGTGAAAGGTTTGAGAAATAACACGATTCTGTTGAGATACAGCTTGAACGACAACGTCCATGAAACTATTGTCGAATTCATCGAAGCTGTGCTGAGACCATGAAGAATGTCCAATGCTGATTGTAGTTGGCCGTCGACGTTTTCCATCTGATGCGAAAGTACGAGTTAACTTCTATTCGCAGAACGTAGTTTCATACAATAGTCATTTGGGACATTTTGCTTCTGAACAGTCTGTAAGGATATATCAATCACATTATCATCAACTGGAGGTAAGACATTTATCTGGGTCTTCTTCAGACGATCCGCGTGCACGACATCTGCGATCTGTGCATTAAGCTTCCATATTTTGAATTTGTTGCCTGCTTCTTTTGAGATTATGCGGAATGGACCAGAAAATTTCGCCGAAAGTTTGGAGTTCCTTTCAGGTTCCTGTAACATAACAGCGTCCCCAACGTTCAGTGCGATAGGTTTAGCATGTTTATGTTGTTTGATGATCATTTCGGCGCGTGACGCCGCTAGCTGTGATCGTACTTGGTTATGAATTTCTGTAAAGACATGAATTTGTTTTGCCGCAAAATCATCCGTATTATATACCGGGTATGGCGCCTCTGTAAGGATGTCGTAAGGCAACCAATCCTCCAATAAATGAAACACTAACGATTGGACGCAGTATTTCTAGGATTTTACGATTGGTTCTTTCAACAAGGCCATTAGCCTGTGGATGATAAGCTGTCACAAAAGTTTGTTTAATTCCATATTGTGCACATATATGCTCTATTAGCTCATTCTTGAACTCTGTTCCATTATCAGAGAGTAGAACTTTAGGCGAGTATATGGACATGAGATTCATCACTAATGCATAGGCTACTGCTTCGGCCGTTTTGCTTTTTAGTGGGATCAAGACCACGAACCTGGAAAAATGATCCACACACACTAAGACGTATCCTGATCCCTGATG